GCGGTCGTATGTCCTCTACACTCTGTAGCGGTGGTGTCCTTTCGGAGGTCCACAGTCGCCCAGAACCTATAGACGAGGAGGCGCTTAACAAGGAAGAGAATCATTAATATGATGAATGAAACTCTCGGTGATCCCGAGTTTACTTCCTAAATTGTTAGAATTTCTATGTGAGCCTAAAATATTTAATTAATTAAAGTAGAAAAAATTTAATCATACCCTAATTAGCTTCCAAACGTATCAAGGCGAAAACAAAGTATGACATGTAAGAAAGAAAGCAATTCTAATCGTGATGTTTAAGAGGAACATTGGGTTGGTCCATTTTGCTGCCTTTACAATTTGAAATTTGAACGCGTGACACACCTCTTCTTTGAGTGTGACTTTACTTGTTTTATCGTCGTTGACCTTCCTCGCTTTAAGACTTTTCTTCTTCGTCCAAATTTTAGTCAAATTGAGGATTTTTTTACTGAATGGAATTATTCTGTTTCTGGAAAGACTAGTTTTGATCTGCTTTTGCTTTGGTGCTCTATTTATACTATATGGAGGGAGAGAAATGCTAGAAAATTTGGGAATAATTTTAATAGCTCCACCACTGTCTGATCATCATTAAAAAAGTTGTTTCTATTAAAATTACAGGATAGAAAATTGGGAGAAATTTAGGTATTTGCTTTATGCTTTTGGTATATTTTGTTGCTTCTTTTCACTGCCTTCCTTATCACGTGGCATTTAATGTTGTTGGATTGCTACCTTCAAGTGCCCTTTTTTCTGGATGGTTCTTTTTGGATGCCACAGACGATGATGATTACTCGTCCTAGTTTCCCTTGGGTGGTTCTCGGGCAACCAAGAGTGCCTCACAATATCTTAATCGTAACTACCTAATTATGCCTTTCTTATCTTAGTCCTAGCATGGGAATGATTTTCTCATTCCTTTTCCCCTTCATGTATCTACATTGCACTTTTCTAATCCCTTACATTATATTTTTATGTCTCAACTTTAGGGCCTCTGCAATTAGGGGCCGACTTCTCATAGCAATTCTATTTACTCAGTCCACTTCAAATTAATTTCGATACTCTTCACTGTTGTTAGTTTCTTGCTTAACTATTTCTTTGCTTTTTGCTGTGCAGTTTTTGGGTTGCACTTGTAATTTTTTTGTGTATGGTGTTACAAATTCCTTTTTAGACTTCCTTTTTTTCTTAGTGTCTTTTGTATTCTCTCATAATTTGCTTTTGTTCTCTTCTACACATTTAACTAGCTTTTTTTTTAATGGAATGAATTGGCAGGACCCTTAATTAGTCCAAAAAAAAAGTTTTCTAACTAATTTTTACCTATTTTTATTGTTAATGATCTTATCAATCCTTAAAAACTGAATAAAAAATCTTATTAATATAAAATAAAAATAATATATGAAGATATTTTATTGTAAATAATCTTTTAAAAAACGTACTAAAATATAATCTTTTAAGCCTTCTCACTTTTTAGGCGATTCAAATCTTTTGCTCAATTGGCTATTGAAAATCTCACGTAAAAATCAAAATATTATCATGGTGTGAAAATAAATATGGATAACGTTCTCGACATTAGAATAATGCATCGTGATTCGTGCCAGATCCTTTTGATATGACCATGTGATGATTACTTCGGCAGACTGTCGCACTAAAGTAATTTTTTATTCAGTTTACTCATAGAAAAACTTGGACTTTGGTAACAGCCCAGCCCATCTTAGTAAAGCATGTAGATTAAATGGTTCTTTTGGCCCATTTCACATATTTCCTCCTCATATACTTACTTTAGGGAGAAGGTAGTTTGGGCCTTCAAAATTACACAATACAAAATAATTTTTTTCTTATTGACTTTGTTCAAATCAAAATAATATTTGGCATAGAAATACTATAAGGGAGGAGTAGGGTTAGATACTTAAATTGGTTTAATTTTTTTTCTTCAAACTAAAAATGTTATCAAATTGAATTTTAGTTTAGTTAAATTATATTAAATAGATCCTACTTGTGCACTATTTTAAAATAAGATTATCTAATTTATTCTATTTTTTAATCACTTATTTTCTATGCTATATTATTAACATATATAATTGTAATTTTTATAAGTTAAGAGAAAATTATATATGAGAGGAATACAATACTTATAAATGATTAATGTAGATTCACAAAATTCATATAATATGCCACAAAATAGAGCATGCATTAGAGTATTGAATATCCTAACTACATAGAAATATCTAATACTTTTTTTTTTATAGAAATATCTAATACTATAAAGGCCAAAGAAGAAAGAATTAGAGAATGAAATTGTGCATTCATAACAATAACAAAAATAAAATTCATAGCAAGAGCAACACTTATTGCCTATGGAGTAGAGGTATCTTGAGAAATCTGAGAAAGATGTTGATGATCTAAAAACGAGGTGCCATTGCATTAAGAGACATATACTCTGTCATAGATAAATCTTTCTCACGTTGAGGTATTGAAGCATCTTTGGATCAAGTTAGTAAAAAATACTTCCTTATAATGATAGATTGAATAAGATCTCAGTGAATTTGTGATTGAGATGAAAAATCATAATATTGGTCTAAATGGAATAGATATGAATATTATAACTATTTTGGACAACAAGATTATTAGTTTGAAAAGGGTAAATTGGAGTAGTTTTCCAACAATAGGTAATATTAAACTCATTAATGCGACAATGATTATATTTTGTTGTAATTTCTCAGAAGCAGTGTTGTGCCAATGTTTATTACTATATGTCCCAATTAGACTTTTGTGTACTCGAAATTCATAATGGCGCTAATTCCTACAAAAATCTCAAAAACAAAAGGTCTGGTAACCAAAGAAGTTGGGCTATCAATAGATATGTTATTACCAAATTTGTATCCAATAGTATATGCTAAAGTCTTTAGCCAAGGAAAAAAATAATCCAAATTAGTGTAAGTTAACTTCCTCCATTCAACTTAATGGACTTATAAATATGCTTAATATCAATAATTCTAATAATTTTAGAAGGGTTATTTTTATTATTAAGGTTAATTTAAATCTTATTATTTATATAACTAATTAGAATATTCCTTTTAAGTTGAGGACAACTAAGATGGTGACATCTCATTATTTTGATGTTATTATCTAAATAATGTAATGGAATATATTCTCTTTGAGTGAATGACAACTAATATTGTTGGCATCTTAGATCATTATTTTGGATAAGCAAAAAAGTTTATTGATCGAGAAAGTAGAATAATTTAGGGCTATATGAAAAATTTTATAGTTTATTTATTAGAGGATAAAGTATTTTCTTAACATTAGAAATTCGAGGCACATACTATGATTCATTCCATAACTTAAAAAATAAAAATAAAAAAATTTTTAAAAAAAAAAACTGATGCAGGAAATCTTGTTCAACATGACTATAGTACTTATAAAAATTTGACATAATAATTACATATATACCCTTATCATTTGCTGGCATTATCGTGATCCTAACAGGATGATTACTAAATTGATGATTAGACATGATACACCTTTTTAATGATCATATCAAACTAATCTCATATGACACATTGAAAATTAAATTATATAAAGTTTAGTATTACAAAAAAATATTGAACTAAAGCTCTAATCAAAGCCTATAAATGGACACTCCTTGTTCTATGGGAAAAGAGGATAATAATAATTTGCTCAACCTTCACATTCTTTCATTGGCCATCAATAATTTTATACTCTTAAAGGAGAGAAGAGTGGATACTATATAAGTAGAGTGGCCAATTGTCATCCATGATTGAGGAAGAAGCAAAATTGTAAAAAGCTTTTAATGATTGCCGACTGAACCAATCGATAGCAACAATTGAACTGTCCACTTTTTTTCTTTGGTGGGATACCACACAATTATCATTATTGTTGTTGTATTGTCATTCATAAATTTTATTGTATGAAGTTATAAATATAAAATTGACATTAGCTTTTGTGTAAATTTGTAATTTTACATAGAAATTGATAGTCCTGTAAATGTTAATATCAAGGGCTTTTTGATGAAAGTAAAATGAGTGTAAAATAAAATAAATGCAGGGATTTTTGATAAAGTAACGTGAATGCAGTGTATTATATTCTAGTTCATTTTTTAGGTGAATCATTCTCATCCGATTTTGACAGAATAATTTACACCGGTTCAAAGCTTGTTTGACCGCCTCCAATGGACACCGTCTCCACCGCCACCCCGCTGACCACCCCGTGCACAACCATTTTATATTTTATATTACATTCACATTACTTCAAACTAAAAAAAAAAAAAAGTAAAGTCATGAATTACTTTTACACTAATCCAAACAACTATGAGCTATTGCTTTTACATCCCATTCCTTTTAAAGTTGTACACTACATTCTTTTTTTAAGCAACCAAATACATCACATAATTCTTGTACATTTACATATTTAACATCTTAAATTTCATATTTATTTATATAACATCTAAAAACCATAAATCATACATAAAAAATTATTATTGTTTTTTAAAATGAATGGCCTTAGATATTAAAATGTTATATAAATAAATATCAAAGTCGAATTACTAGATATATAAATATCACCAAAAAATTAGAGATATCTAGCAAAATAAAAAATATTTTAGTTCGTGAAGTGAGTATAAATAAAATTAATGGGTGATATATATATATATATATATATATATATAAATGAAATTTTAGTAATTTTTATAATATTATGACATATCAATGAAATTTTAATAATTTTTATATTCAAATTTAAGTTGACAACCCTTAAAGCCCACCATAGCTTTCAACTAATAAATCTTTAATTATAATTTTATTATTTTATTGGCCCCAAAATAAAACCTGAGAAGTTTTTTTTTTTTTTTTAACAATTATGATTTCTTGAAATGGAAAAGAAAAAACATCGCATGTTATTTCTGCTCCACTTAGCTTTCACAATAAAGGAAGTGATTTCCATTCTAGGATAGCTTTGGCTTTTCCTCCCTCCCCCAAGTGGAACTTCTTCTCCTCTTTGTCTTCTTGTTCCAACCCTCACCACCACTTCTCTGTGATTTCCACTTCCTGTCTGCCCGCTCCAGTCTCCACTAACCACCTCATTACCACTCTAAAAATCCCTCCTTTCAGTTTCTATTAATGCCGGCTTTCTCTCCACCGAATTGTAGAACAACACTTGCCTGCGTCTGCGAGAGGGAGAGAGAGAGAAGAAAAGAGGTGAATTGCTGCTGAAGGGGGCGAAGGGAATGGGGAGAGGGAAGATTGAGATAAAGAAGATAGAGAATCCGACAAGCCGGCAAGTAACGTACTCAAAGAGGCGAGTTGGGATCATGAAGAAGGCCGAGGAACTGACAGTGCTCTGCGACGCTCAGGTCTCACTATTCATGTTCTCAAGCTCCGGCAAGTTATCTGGTTACTGCAGCCCTTCCACAGAGTAAAAACTCCTCTCATTACCTTTCCTTTTCTGCTCAAGCACGAATTACTTTAAACAATCTTTGGGCAGAATCAAGGATATATTTGAGAGGTATCAGCAAGTTACTGGCATCGATATATGGGAGGCCGAATACCAGGTATATATATATATATTTATCACGTTAATTCTCTTTGTTCTCTTGCTCTGTTTCTATGTGAAAAAAATGTGATTTTTTTTATGCAGAGGATGCAGAATACTCTGAGGAATCTCAAAGAGATTAATGATAACCTTCAGAAGGAGATAAGGTGAGTTTTAGTTTCGGGAATCAGTTTTGATTGCTTAAAGAGGTTAAGAGAAATGGCTTATGCAGGCAGAGGAAGGGGGAGAATCTGGAAGGGTTGGACGTTAATGAGCTGCGCGGTCTTGAGCAAAATTTGGAAGAGTCGATTAAGATTGTTCGAGAGAGAAAGGTCTCAATCTTTTTTATGCTCATTATTTCTAATATGTAACAAACTTGTGTTCAGTTTGCTATGAAGCTTGTATTTGAGTCAATTGTTAAGCTAATCCAGCTTGGGCACATATTTTGGAGAGACTATTACGTGTTGAGTCTGGACCGGAGAATCATCTGGTTTTTGTGAGTATGCGCAGAAAAATCATAGTTACTATTCACCATTGTGTTTTTACTGCGCACTCTCACAAAAATTGGACGTAGCTCTGGTCCGGACTTCGTGCGTAATAATCTCTCCATAAATTGTGCTTTTTCCAAACAAGCCAGACATAAATATAGATATGTTCGACCATTTTTTGCTCATTTGATTGCCTTGTAAAATATTAAGTGTTATCTTACATATGTGTAAATTTTTTTCTTCAGATGTCCAAAGAGAATTTTTTTACATATAACTGAAGTTACTTCTATATACAACAACTTCAACACTTTATCTCATTACGTGGGATCCGCTAAATGAATACTTTTTATCTATTCTATCATATTAAGAATCAAATTCTCATTTAAATCAAATAAAAAAATATCATTTCTAATAATTTCTAACCAAATCCTTTTAGATCTACCTTACTTCCATATATGCAAGTTTATAATTACAAATGTTGCAAATGATAGATGCACTTGGATGCATATGCATTAGGATCTTGTTTTGTTTTGCTTATATTTATGAATAAAAACACTTCTAAGAAAATCTAGTCGAAAGTTCCTGTTCTTCATAATATATGAATTGCTTCTTGAAAGTTGCATCAAAGGAATATACTTTTCATTTTAATTTATGGGTTGAAATCCCCCATAAAATATAGGGAAAACTATCCAATAAGAGCTTAAAGTTTAAAGATCAAGAGATTTATCTGACTCATCTAGCTGATTTTTTATAATTTATCAGTTCTAATATATAATTTGCTTAACATAAGCTATTTTCTCCTTTATCCATCTTGATTAGAACTGTGTATCTTTTTCAAATAAATATATAATAGGATTGTGTCCATCAAAATGGTAAATTCGCATAAAATGCTTACATCTACTTACTGCATCTTTGCCTCTTTGCCATGGTTAGTTGCTAACACCTTTTTTTCAATAATTTGTGTTGTTGCAGTATCATGTGATCGCTACGCAAACGGACACTTACAAGAAAAAGGTATCAATAAGTAGTGGATTTCTTCTCTACAAATCATCTTCTCTCTTTTGAAATTATAAAGCTGTTTGGTTTTCATAATTGTCTATGTTGTTAGAGGCTAGATTCTGCTCTGTAAACATAATTCCACTTAATTATCAAAGAATAAATCAATGAAAATAGAGCATATTTCGTCGTGATTTAGGTTTTGTTTGGGACATCTTTCATACTATTTTCTAAAACAATTTTTGTACTAAAAAGCTATCTTAGAAAGCAGTACGAAAGCTATCCCAAATGAAGCCTTAATTTATCTTCTTGAATTAAAGATGTGCAATATAACAGACTACCTTTTGTTGTTGTCCTGCTTTAGGGATTTATATGTGCATATTTGTAAGGCGATTTAGTTTTTCTTGAAGAGGATAATAAGGTTTTGAGGATTTTCTCCATGTCATCTATTTGGCATTGTATGAGTAGTTGATAACCTCTTAGGATGTTTTTGGATACACCAATGCAATTATACAGTTATCATTTGGAATATAATTCTTCTATTTGCTCTCTTGGTTTGCTTCTGTTATGGTGCCTTTATTGTAGTCCAAATAAACAGGAGCGGATCCAGACCACTTTTTTAGGGTGGACAAACTCTTGCGATTTGGTCAGGTCGATGACCTCTTGCGATTGTAAAAGCAACCTGGTCTTGCGAGTTGCGAATGATGGAACGAGAGGGCTTCGAGCCTTCTACTGTGCTTCTGCGAATGATGGGAGGCGGGATGGGCAAAACTGACGCTTGATTAATAAATTTAGGGCAAAAAGCCCTCTCTAATGAACTTTTTTTTTTCAAGGCGAGCATTTGCCCACCTAAATGCTCACCCCCTCACTTGACCGTGGATCCGCCTATGCTAATAAGATCAATATTAGTTGAATAAAACAATGGAGAGCTTTGGTGACCTTCATGCCTAATAGTATTTTTAGACTTCTGTTCCTTCTAAATATTTCTATATGTTTAATTGAATTGAAATCATGACTTATTTCTATATGAAGCTTGCAAGTCATCAATTCCTATTACATGTTAACCAAATCAATCATGTTCTTTACAGCTCAGAAACACCAGGGAAATATATACAGCCCTACTGCATGAACTGGTTAGTTAAATGCTCTTCTTGCAGTTCTCAATTAACATGACATAACAAGAGAATTAATTTTTCTGCTGAATGACATTATCACAGCACGAATTCGAGGATGAGAATCAACGGTGCAGTTTTGTTGCAGAAGATCTTAGCGGCGTCTACGACAGCACCATCTCAATGGCAAATCAGCAGCACAGTCAGCCAAATAAGCAGAAAATAGTTTATGAGTCTCATGATCTTAGCTTTGCATGAACTGCATTTTCTTCTACTTATGATATACTGTGGATTTGATTAATCATGCATTCATGTTTTAATATCATAGCCTTGTTTAACTGTTTGGTAGATCTCCATTGCCCTATTTTGATAGTTTCTAGTAAAATATTTTGTTTGAGATAACTTTCTTATTGTTTCTTAAAAATAGTTTAAGTATAAAAATTAAATTTTTTGATACTATAAACTACAAAACTACTTTAAGTAGTAAGAAAGCTGTCCCAAACAAAATTAAGTTTTGATCTTCGTAATCTTAATTTCTTTTTTATTTCATATTAGAAAAATAATTTTGTAATAGTTAGGTTGTTCTAATCATAAGTGCATTGTAAATTTCTTTTAATATTTATCAAAATGTCACTCTTCAAATGTATGGGACCGCGGTAACTCATCTAAGTAAGATAAAATAAAAGTTACATGATCAAAAAAGTTATAGCATAAAATAAGACTATATTAAGACATCCAATCAATTATGTGAGTTCAAAAATATAAATATACTATGTAGACTCATTGAGATTGCATATATTTACATCAACTAGAGGCATAATGTTGTTGACAGCACAAGACGATCGTAATACAAATATGAAGATCAACTTGCTACTGGCACTGATCTATGGCTAAACAGTTGCTCGGGTGACAAGCTGGTCGAATGTTTTGTTAAATTAGACCCAACGTGTCCTCCGTAACAACCTTAAGAAAAATGAATTGACAACTTATTAATATTTTAGAAGTCTTTAAAAATATCTCTATAATATTAACTACAATCCATTTAAAAAGTGGCTTCAACAGTGAAAGCCTAAGATTATGAATTCCACCATATAAAAAAAATCAATATAAAAAAAAAAGTTTATGAATATTTCTATATAATTTTAACAATATCATCATACTCAAACCCATAAAGATGACAACATAATATATTTTTTTAATTTTGTTTGCAACATATATGAACTAAGGCTTCATTAAGGGCAGCTTTTGTACTGTTTTTTAAAGAAATTTTTTAGTTCAAAAATTAAAAATTTTCCACTAAAAAAATTATTTTATGAAACAATAAGAAAATAATCCCAAATGAAGCCTAAATTAAATCTCATCAAATCCCTAAAATTTACTGATACAAGCTAAAAAAAAGACGAAGAAGGCTGCAAAAGCAGTCCGGTTAAGCACAATTTGATGTTAGGGCTATCAATGTAGCTTGAAGATCCCAAAAATGACCCCCCCAAAAAAATCCTTTTTTTTTTTTTTTTGGGTTGAAGATGGGAAGCGGCCTATCCGAGAATGTGAATTACAACGGCCCATAAACAGGTCATACTTCTATGGAATTATATACAGGAACTATAAATCTTTGGTGAATGCATTATGTGCATGAACTACCATCTAATAAACCTGGAAATAAATAGCAAAATGATCTCAAATTTTTTATATTATACAATACAGTATGACCAGTACGAAATGCACAGCAATTTTTGAATGAATCATATCATCACGCCTGCAAGGCATCACACAATGCAATAAGTCAGTACCTAAAATGACAGAAAAAAGAACTAGCCTTGGTTCTGCAAGACTAAGGTTCCATTCAAGATAACTTGTTCTGAGTTCTGCTTTACGAAAAAAACTATATTAGTTCTATTTGTCAGCAATTTTTTGCAGTTTTATAGAAATTAATATAATGAGAGGAAATTTTAATAAATAATAATAATAAATTGTAGTAAGGAAATTATGACATTTTTTTTTCAAACAAAGCTGTGAAAAAACTATCACAAATAAAACCTTTCTGGCCTGCTAATATTCTCATAATGAAAATGCTTCTGCAAGTATTGGGCATAAAAAAATGGAGGACTGAACTTACCGGTGGAAAGATATAGCGGTGGTGCAGTGGAATCAAGATCCGCGAATCACAAAGAAGGCAAAATGAGATGTTATTTCCGGCGCATCTGACTGATAGCCTAACAAATCAGAAATATTTTAGGAAGAATTAACCTTTCCAGTTTCTATTGAAGAATCAGGAGAGTACGGTATGAAAGGATGCACTGCGTTAAATGCACCTCACCAGTTCATGTCGTACTACTATATACCTCCACTCAAACTTGCAATATGAAGAATTATTGCTCGGAAGACTAAATCATGGCATCATCAAAATCTCATTTGACAGAACTATTTGCTTTTTCTTTCATGACAGAAATCTCTAGTTTTTTCTTCTCGGCCTCAGCATTCCGAATGTTGTCTTCATGAGATTTATTGAACATATTGACAAAGATTACCAAAATTGAAGTAACTGTCACATAAAAAGCCAACACTGAGGAATAATCATTTGTAAAACAAGTAGTTGTATCCAAACTTCATAACACTTATATACTTTAACGAGAATATTGCAGCTCCATTCAGTTTGGGAGAGGTTAATGGCCAGTGCTCTTAATGCATAACAGATTATTTTTGTGATCCGAGCAAGTGAACTCAAGTCATTGGAGGCAAACTCAGAATAACTTAAAATAAACAGATCAAATCCTTCGAAGATCTCACTTACTAATAAGGAAATAAAATAAAAATAAAGCATCTTCGAAACAGAAAATACAGATTTGACTCTTAATGTAGCACTAGAAAAAAAATGATTTAAGTAGCTGACCCCACATAATGAGATGAAAATATATTATCTTGGATATACATTCATATCAAAAATATTGATAACAGAACCGACTCAACACTAGGTAATATGTTTCTCCCGGACAACTACAGTCGTGTGTCACATACAAATGTTTGATCAAAGTTTAACAAGATTTGAAAAAAAAAACAGTAATATTAAGTGCAAGGCCACATCAATCAAGGTGGCTAACAGAAACAATTTTCCCAACATAGGTAGTACTCAGGTAAGCTACAAGAGAAACTGTGATAGAACAAATGCACCACCAAGTTGGAGAAACAAGAAGCAAAATGGATAGGGGAATCCATTAAACTCGATGTTTATAAACAGCTCATGTCTGAACTTCTTAAAAAGCTCTTGCTTGACATTCGTTAATTAACATTATATTTTAGTTCAATTCCTTATGAATGTGGGCTTCAAAAGAAGCACATGTTGTGTATAAGGGGGCAATTTTAGATCGTACTATACCAAAGGATGGAAATAGCTGTAAACATTCGCCCTCTACGTGAGAGTCGATGGAAAACGGAGAGCTAAGAGCAGGTCACTCCACAAATTTGAAAGACAAAAATATGCATAATCAAATGCCAGAAATTTCCCCTACCAAGCACAAGATACCGGACAAGGTTTACTGGTCCAATTTTCAATGGGTGAAAGCCCCAATGATAAACATCTTGAAGGCTATACTCAAGTAAAACTTAATGGTAAAAATATTCGTTCATGTTCATGGATTCAGTAAAAAGGGATCTAGATGTTTTATAGTAATCAATGGAAGATATGCTTAAGGGATTTTTACACACCGAACATAATAACAGAGTCAAAGCAGGCCAAAAAGATTACCTAGATGACATCAACCGATGACATAGACTTGAGAGTCTTATGGTTCATGAAGCAAGGATTGCGCAATGATAGATGAAACAACTGAACATCAACTCCGAGGAATATAAACAGAGACAACCAAAGAGATTGGGGTTACATTTACTCGAAAAATCAAGAAGCCAACTCCCTAAACTAGCACAGAGACCTCAAGAAGTGAAGCCCTCCTAAAATATATAATCATCGAAAGGTCACCCGAAGGCTGATGACACAATTATTGTTAAATTCAGAGAATTGGAGAGGGAAAAGACTTGATTTTATTGCATAAAGCTCTCCCTATTTATAGATCAATATAAAATATCTTGATAAAGAAACAAATAATTATAGAATAATGCATAATTATACTAATATAATCTTTCCTAAATCAGCCACAAAAATATGAAAGGAGATAGGCATGATCCAGGTGAGCCTCCCACGGATTCCCATGCTAGCCATGGGTTCAAGAGGAAAGGGACGACTAGGATGTTATTTGACTCTCCCCCTCAAGTTGGGGAATACGAATCTATCATTCTCAGCTTGGTAATCAGTCCCAAAAAGATAAGAGTTATCAAGCCCCTTGGTGAGAATGTCTGCAAGCTGATCTTTTGATTAGACATGGCAAATACAAATAGGTCTGCTATCTAATTTCTCCTTTATGAAATGTTTGTCCACTTTTATGTGCTTGGTCCAATCAAGCAAAATTGGATTGTGAGCTATGTTGACTGCTAATTTGTTGTCACATTATAGTTTCACGAGTCCTTCCAACATGATCTTTAGGTCTTCCTAAAATCATTTTGATCCAAAGTAGCTCGCATATACCTAAGGCCATAACTCTGAACTCTGCCTCTACACTAAACATTGCCACCACATTTTGTTTCTTACTCCTCCATGTAACTAAATTTCCTTCCAAGGAATGTGCAATATCCTGAGGTGATCTTGTGTAATATGTATTAGTATAGGCTTCCGGGGTTATTCCACATTCTCTTTTAAAGAGAATTCCCTTTCATGGATTACCTCTGAGGTTGTGCAACATTCTCTCTACTGCTTGTATGTGTCTGCTTTGAATTTTGCATAAAATAGTTGACCGTGCTTACAACAACATCTATGTCTGGTCTAGTGAGGGAAAGGTAGATCAATTTCCCCACAAGTCTCTGGAAAGCTCTCTTATCTATGTCTGAATCTTTCTTAGCTTCCCCTAATTTGAGATTTGGTTCTACTAGAGTTGGTGCTGGTTTACAAGCTAATTTACATATGTATTTAAGAATATCATGAATGTATTTATGTTGTGAAATGAAGATTCATTTGCTGAAGTGGGTCACTTCAATTCTTAGGAAATATTTCAATATTTCAAGTTTTTTTATCTCAAATTTTTTGGCAAGACATTTCCTTAGAATCACTTTTTCCTTTTCATCATTCCCATCAAGATGATATCAACCACACAAACTAACAAAATTGTGACTCCCCCTGAGTCTGAGTGCATGAAGAATAGAGTATAGTCCCCTTGGCTCTACTAATATCCATTGAGTATCATGACTTTTGAAAATCTTTAAAACCAAGCCCTAGGTGACAACTTTAGCCCATATAGAGCCTTTTTTAACATACACACTTTGTCACCCTCTTAATTCTCCTTGAATTATGATGGAATCTCCATGTAAGAATGCATTTTTGGCATCCAACTGTTCCAAATGCTAGTTATAATTAGCTACTAGGGAGAGCGAGATCCTAACGGTGTTCATCTTGGCAATAGGTGCAAAATTTTCATGGTAATCAATGTCGTATATCTGAGTGTAGCCTTTCTCTATCAGTCTTGCCTTGTATATTTCCATCGTACCATCGATTTTGTATTTCACAGAGAATATCCATTTGCAACCAACTAGTCTTTTTCCTACTTGTAGGTCAATGATCTCCTTGGTAATGTTCTTTCTCCAGGGTCTTGCATTTATCTTTCATGACACTTTCTCAATTATCATCAAATAAGGTTTCAAAAATATTGCTAGGAATAAGAATATCATTTAGTAGAACAAGAAAATTTTTTTATGAAAGTGAAAATTTGGAAGGATACAAAGTTGGTTACCGGTTACACGGAAAGTTTTTTAGGTGAACTCGTCTTTACCTCAATTTTAGGAGATAGTTCAAATCCTTGGATCTACTCTAGAGCATAGTTTGGATTTGTATGCCTGGAATATATCTTTCCAAACCTCATGCTATCCATAATAGTTTTGCTCACTTTTCTCATCTTCCTCAGTTTCGGTCTCCTCCTAAATATGAGATTTGGTGAAATAGAATTTTTGTTCGTCAAAAGTGATATCAACCGATACAAATGGTTTTCTTGGTGGAGGGGTGATAACAATTATGACCTCTCTGGGTGGATGAATATCCAACAAAGATACACTTAAGTGCCATTGGATCTAATTTTTCTCTATTTTTGTTGGAATGCGAACATAGACAGTGCACCCAAAGATTCTAGGTGTGATGTTGTTATGGGTTCGGGCTTCAAGGGAAAAAAAAAAAGGATATTCATTAGTATTTTTAGTCCCAAAATTTTTTAAGGCACTCAATTTATGAGATATGTGACAGCTAGAAGGGCTTCCCCCAGTATGATTAGGGTACATTATGCTGGAATAGAAGTGCACAAGTGGAGGAAATAAGGTTGTCATTTTTTTCTTTCTATAACTCCGTTTTATTGTGGGGTGTGAATGCAGGAAGATTAATGAATGATGTTTTCCTTTTAAAAGTAGAAGGATAGGTTTTGGTTAAAGTAATCTTTGACATTGTCGGAATAAAATTTTCTTATTTTTGCTCTGAATTAATTATGAATCATGGTGTGAAAAATGGGGAGGTTAGTGTTAACATCGGATTTATTTTTGTGGAGAAAGATCCAAGTGACTCAAGTGCAATTGTCAATGAAGGATACAAACCATCGGGCCCCTGAGATATTAGGAATTTTTTAGGGTCCCCGGATATCACTATGAATAAGGTAGAAATGAGCATAATGTCTCTCATTTTTTGTTTGGGAAAGAAACTCATTTATGCTTGGCTAACTCACATGTTTCATAATGAAAGAATTCATTTTTCAATTTATAAAACAATTTTGAATACATATTTTTAGATATCAAAAGATGAATGTTTTAATCTAAAATGATGAAGCCAAATAGTAGATTTTTTATTTGATAGGGGTAATATAAAATAGTTATTATTGATAATAGTGAATTTGTTTGCTCTTCTAGGTAGTACAGTTCATCTTTCTCCTTAGCAAGTGTTGAAATAAACAAATAGGGTTATATATGACTTAGCACTTATGGTCATTGGTAAATTTTTGTATGAATATTATGTTTGTGAAGCACATTTTTTAGAGTGAGAGGGGGAGATAAGAATATGTCTCCTTAGCCTGCTATTGTGGTAAGAGAACCATCAACAATGATGATTTTCTTATCACTCAAGCAAGGAATGTAATTAATGAAGTGGGTAATAGAATGTGTCATGTGATCTGTGGCTCCTGAGTCAATGATCCATAAGCCTTTCAAATACTTTCTGATACACTATGTGCAAGTTTATACACGCTATGTACAAGCATTATACATGCTATGCACAAGTATTATACACACAATGTATAAGTTTATACAAACATTGTACATGTTATGTACAAGTTTATACATGTTATGTAGAAGCATTATACATATTATGTATAAGTTTATGCACGTTATATACAAGCATTATACACACTATGTACTTACTATATATGAGCATTATACACACTGTATACATGAATTATACATATTATATAT